CTTCTTTGGTTGATTAAGCTAGGAAACCAGTTTGATCTGTTCTGCAGAAGCAAAATGCTGTCAGAGTCTACTGCTGTCCCCCAACTGGTTTTTCCAGGAGTTTTGAAACTCGTAAGGCACATTGAGCTAAGCTACACAAATGCAATTATTCTACTGTAGATTCTTAACTCCAGTTAAGTTTTGGTTTGTTTTCTATTTTTAGCACATTCTATCCCTGACTGCCGATTCACAAGGGGGGTAGGGGTGGAATCAACCAACAAAACTATTCTCTACACCAGGTATCCCTGAAGCAGAAGTGAGATTCAAAACCATGTCTTTGTAGCCCATCATAAATCACATGTTGAACCCTTACATTTCATTGAGGCTCTTCTAAAAAAGCCCAAATATTGCTCTTGAAGAACGTACCTTACTACACCTGTTAGAAATGTTTCAGCTAAGAGAAAGCTTTTCAAACCCTTGGGGGAACTGAGTTGTGACTCACTTTGGGAGGAAGGGTAATAATACTAATAATAATAATAATAATAATAATAATAATAATAATAATACATTGTTGTTGTTGTTGTTGTTATTTATAGCCCACTCTGGGTGACTTCCAACAAAATATTAAAAGACAGTACGTCAAACATTAAAAGCTTCCCTAAACAGGGCTGCCTTCAGATGTCTTCTACAAGTCTGGTACAGCTTCCGGGTCATGTGGCCAGCATGACTAAGCCGCTTCTGGCGAACCAGAGCAGCGCATGGAAACGCCGTTTACCTTCCCGTTGGAGCGGTACCTATTTATCTACTTGCACTTTGATGTGCTTTCAAACTGCTAGGTGGGCAGGAGCTGGGACCAAGCAACAGGAGCTCACCCTGTCGTGGGGATTTGAACTGCTGATCTTCTGATCGGCAAGCCCCAAGCTCTGTGGTTTAGACCACAGCACCACCCGCGTCCCTCCCTAGAATAAAATAGATACGGTACATATAATTATCTATATATTTATCTGGAACTCCTCCAACCAATCCAACTAACTGAGCTTGTATCTGGGCTGGTCCCAGAGTCCTGCTGAAAGACATAGGCCAGGATCTTCTGGGTTCCCCGGCTTTTCCCCTATGTAACCTCTGTGACAACACAGGATTTCTAGCACCACTGGCTATTCCCAGTCTCAGCTTGCATGTGGCTACAGCTCCCTGATGGACACAGAGAACAACTTCAAGCATTACAAAACTCAGGAGCCACCAGTGATTTTATGCCCTGCAAGTTTGTCCGGCAGCATGGTGTGGCAATGCGATAATTGGGGAATCCATGGACAGTGAGAGCCCATTCACATGAGATCCCATAATATACCCTGCTTTGTCCACAGTGCCACGCCCCCAGGGATCAGGCTCCAGCTCCAGCTCCCAGGATGTAGGACCAAAGGACATCCAGGCCGTTCCTGGTTGCCATCCATCGCGCCTCTTCCCCACTGCCCCTTCTCCGTGCGGGCATGGCTCCATCTCGGCCATCTTTGGCGCAGAAGCAGCAGCCAAAGTTTCCTTTCCTTAAGACAGCAGCTCCGCTTATTTCCCATCTGTAACCTCTTCCTCTGTTTTTGTTTTCCTTTCTGTCTCCTAGCTCCTCAGACAGGTAGGCCACAGAGGCTATTGTGGGCTTTGTGAGCAAATGACAGATAGGGAGGCCGCCATGTTTAAGAATGGCATCATAGAAGTTGTGGTAGGGGGAAGAGGGGCACATTGACATTTGGGATGAAATGTCTCAACAACAGTTGTTTTAAATTACTTTCATTTGACCCCAAAGTCTCAGAAAAATCTGACAAAATCTTCAGTCATTTGAAAACTAGGAAGTTAAATTTTAAAAATGAACATAAGGGAGTACCTTTCATTGCGGTTAATGAGCATGTTTTGCAAAATTACAAAGAACACACCTTTTTTTCAAAACATTTAAACTAAAACTAAAAAGTTTTCTTAGATTTGCTGAAAACCATTTCAGCACTTCCTTCTCAAGTTCCTCATTTTTTCCAGTGCTTTTTTTAAAAAAAAATATTTTTATTAAAGATTTACTTGGTTTACAAAAGTACATGCCTTCTCTCTTTTTTCAGGTTCTGCAGTCTTCCTTACAAATCAGTTACATTTGTTGTTGTAATAATAATAATAATAATAATAATAATAATAATAATAATAATAATAATAATTTATTATTTATACCCCGCCCATCTGGCTGGGTTTCCCCAGCCACTCTGGGTGGCTTCCAATAAAACACTAAAATACAATAACCTATTAAACATTAAAAGCTTCCCTAAACATGGCTGCCTTCAGATGTCTTCTAAAGGTTTGGTAGTTACTTTTCTCTTTGACATCTAGTGGAAACAAAAGATGAAGAGGTCAAATCAGTTATGATTAAATGGGTACAAGATGTGGGACATAATATTCAGATGGTGGAATGGGGAAAACTATGGAAGAATGATATAAAATTTATAGCATGTGTGATGATTAAAGAAAATTATATGAAAATGATGTATAGATTGTATCTAACCAGCTAAATTAGCAAATACGTATAACACTAAGGAAAGCAAGTGTTAGAAATGTAAAATAACAGAGGGGACATTTTTCCATATGTGGTGGGATTGTAAAATTATAAAGAAATATTGGGAAATGATTTATAATGAAATGAAGAAGATGTTTAAAACAACCTTTGTTAAAAAAAAACCCAGAAGCTTTCTTATTAGGAATTATAGGAGTGGACCTATCAAAATCACAAAAGAACTTGCTTATGTATGCAACAATGGCCGCATGGACCTTATTAGCACAACATTGGAAAGAAGAAGGTGTCCCATCTAAATAAGATTGGCAAGTTAAATTAATTGAATATGCTGAAATGGCAAAATTGACTATGAAACTAAGAGGAAGAGATGACAATGAATTTAAGGAAGAGTGGAAGATGTTTATTGCATATTTACAGAAGCAATGTACACAGGTTAATACATTAGCAGGGTTTTAAGATTACTTGTAATTTTGTTATGAATGGATAACAGGGATTTAAATAGGTTAAAATTTAACAATAGACATGCAGTATGTTGACAAGTAATAGAACCAAGGAAGGGAATGGAGGGAAGTCAATTTGTTTTGTTTTGTTTCTGTATTGTTTTTATTTTTGTTGTTTTTGGAAAATAATTTAAAAAAAAAAAGACGTTCTCTTATCATTGTTGACCGTAGCCAGTTCTTCACTCTCCCCAAGGTGCTGAATGACTGCTCTCTGGTACAAGTCGTGTATGGCTGAGCAAGAGAGATGAGCAGAGCCTTTTTTGTGGTAGGGTAAAAGATTACCCACCTCTTTTACTAGGTCTGCTATGTTTAGCTCTTTTAACTGCTGTTTGCAGAGTTTCTTCTCCTTCCATATGGTGTACCACAGTTCAGTTTCGGGGTGGGAGTCTATCACTCTGTCGGGTTGCCGGTTGCGTCACTAGAATGCGCCATCACGACATCATCCAAGCAATCTCACAAGCATTTGCATTTCAAATATTCTGATTATATTTACTTTTAGTTAAGAATTTTCTAGTTATTTACTTAACTCCCCCTCCGGCTATGCCCATGCCATTGGGCAAGGCTGAATGTCACTGCAGCTGTAACGTTCTTTCATATGTGGTGGACTTGTAAAAGGGTAAAAGAATATTGGGAAATGATCCATGATGAATTGGAAAAAAAAAGTTCAAAAGTACTTAAAAAACAACAACAACCAGAGTCCTTTTTGTTGGGGGTAATTCAGTGGGAAATTCCCAGGTGTCAAAAAAGGTTATTTATGTATGCCCCTACTGAGAGCCAGTGTGGTGTGGTGGTTAAGAGCGGTAGACTTGTAATCTGGGGAACCGGGTTCGCGTCTCCGCTCCTCCACATGCAGCTGCTGGGTGACCTTGGGCTAGTCACACTTCTTCGAAGTCTCTCAGCCCCACTCACATCACAGAGTGTTTGTTGTGGGGGAGGAAGGGAAAGGAAGGAATGTTAGCCGCTTTGAGACTCCTTCGGGTAGTGATAAAGCGGGGTATCAAATCCAAACTCTTCTCTCTTCTACTGCAGCCTGTGTTTTGTTAGCCCCCAAATGGAAAACAAGCAAGTTCCCAACTAAGGAAGAATGGCAACTTAAGTTGATGGAATATACACAGCTTGCGGACTTAACCTATAGAATAAGAGAACAAGAACATACGTTTAGAGAAGATTGGAAAATGTTTATTGAATATATGGGGGGGGAATTGTGTACACTTGAAAACGTTGGTAGCATTAAGATAAATTCAACAGTGTAAATGAGTTTTGATGGATGTAATACAGTGGTACCTCGGGTTACATACGCTTCAGGTCACATACGCTTCAGGTTACAGACTCCGCTAACCCAGAAATAATGCTTCAGGTTAAGAACTTTGCTTCAGGATGAGAACAGAAATCGGGCTCCGGCGGCGCGGCGGCAGCAGGAGGCCCCATTAGCTAAAGTGGTGCTTCAGGTTAAGAACAGTTTCAGGTTAAGAACGGACCTCCGGAATGAATTAAGTACTTAACCCGAGGTACCACTGTAATGGAATACTGAATGGTTTGGTTACCTAAAATATGCAGGGATTTATGATATGCAAAATGCACTATGGAAAGATTAGACGGGAAGTCGTTGATATTTTAGGATGTTTAAATGCGTATTCTAAATCGTAAAAGAGAGAATTTAATAAAATTTTATATATACAGTATATAAAAAAAGAATGTCACAGCGGCTGCCTCTGTGTTCTATTGGAGAAGATGACGAGGACCCAGGCAAATCACACGCTTAAAAATGCTAAGAAAAGACTGCGGTGTGTCCAGGAAACAAGCGAATGGCCGCCTTAGCCAAAGACCCGAGACAGGAACAGATTGGAATTTTGGTGGCAGCCGCACGAAAAGGAGGCGGGGCATCAGCAAACCAATCAGAAAGCGGTACACTAGAGCTCCTCCTCCCCCGGCGGTCCTACGCTTTTCTCTTCTAAATCTTCCGAGCTTCCGTAGAGTTCCCGGAAGTGCCGCGGTTGCTAGGCTGCAGGTTGCTAGGCAGCGGCGTCGCGTCTCACTTGGGCCTTGCCCGGCTCCCAGGCATGGGGGACTCGGAGGGCGAGGTTTTGCGGGGGACCTTCCCCAGCCTCATGGCGGAAGGGACGATGCTGAGCCGGCGCGGGGAGCTTGCCAAGGCTCTGACTTGCTACACCTACGTGAGAATTTGCTGTGCTCGTGGGGCAGGATGGGGGTGGGAAGGAAGGAAGGAAGGAAGGAAGGGAGGGAGGGAGGGAGGGAGGGAGGGAGGGGGTGAAGCTGGTTCGTGAATAGGAATGAAGGGAGGAGGGGAGCTGATGGTGCGTTTATCACATGGCCAGGCATACCTGGGACCCTCAAATACGAGAAGAAGCGCCTCCCCCCACATCCTCCAGATGTGGCCTTTGAGAAGCCAGATGTGTGCTGAGTATGTACACAAGGACATAAGAAGAGCCTTGCTGGATCAGGCCGGTTCATTCATTCATTCATTCATTCGTAGAATCATAGAGTTGGGAGGGACCCCCAAGGGTCATCTAGCCCAACCTCTTGCCATGCAGAAATCTCAGCTCAAGCATCCACTACAGGTGGCCATCCAACCTCTGCTACTTGTAGAGAAAATTACAGTGGTACCTCGGGTTACATACGCTTCAGGTTATAGACTCCGCTAACCCAGAAATAGTACTTCCGGGTCGCTGTGGAGCGCAACCCGAAAATATTCACCCCGAAGCTACTTCAACCTGAGGTATGACTGTACAAGCAATCCAACAGAAAATCCTTTGAGTCTTCAAAGTCCAGGTAGAGATTTTGTTTTTCATTGGCACCCTATTTTCTTATCTATGCACAATATTACTGAGCCTTTTTGATGATGGAGCTGGTCGTGTGAAGCTCCTTTCATAAAAAGTCTCAACCTCCAACTTGTATTTTAAAAGGCTTGTGTGCTACAGTAGTGAAAAAAGCAAATTCATTGTTATTAGGGGAGAGTTAAAATTAAAGGAAGTACAATAGGCCCTTACAGAAAGCTGTGGTTCATCCGCAGTTTTGTGGAGTTCTGGTCCAGGCTGTTTCCAGAAAAATGTCAAAGGTTAAGAACAGTTTCAGGTTAAGAACGGACCTCCGGAACGAATTACGTACTTAACCTGAGGTACCACCGTAATACAGGATCCATCGCTAAGAAATGGGGAATAGTGAAGAAACTGTGGCTCACCAAGTGATCCTTGGCAGGATAAAAGCACACCCCAGTTTTCAAATACAAAATGTTGGATGGTATATAATGATCAGTTAGCAGCTGTAAGTATTCTTTTGAGACTGGGCATCATGTTTTTGTGTGTTGCTAGGCCCTGCAACTCCAGCCAGGTGACAGGAACTGCCTTGTTGCCCGTTCAAAATGTTACCTGAGACTTGGAGATACAGAAAATGCCTTGAAGGATGCAGAAGCCTCCCTGGCAGCTGACAAAGGGTTTACTAAGGTAAGTAACCAAAAGGTGGAAAAGCCTGAACCAACTCAAAAGGTTCCCTTTCAAAATTTATTGTGGAGTATCTGGTTTGATGGTGGAAGGGAGTTATGGTTCTGTCTCCCCTCTTTTCTTAACCCAGAAGGAAAGAAGGGTAACTAACAACTTCCATAAAAGAACCCAACCTTCATGTCATTCTTTGTTCTGCAACTATCTTTCTAAACCATTTGGCATATTAACCAGGTTAGAAAATTTTGTTGCAAGCAAACCAGAGCAGAGGTTCAAAGGGACAGTTGGATTGGAAGGGAGTCTCTTGAATGGACTTCAAGCTAAGTGAGAATATGGAAATATGAGGATGGGGGAAAGACCCTTCTTCAAATTGTCCACATCTCAGAAATTATCAGACTGGGATAAGCAAGCTGCTTGGGTGCATTTCTTGGGGATGGTATTTTTTGTTTACTCACACGAACAAGTTTACAATGCATAGCACTCTTATTGTTTATCTGTTGTCTGTCCCCGCCCCCTCGCCCCCAACATTTCCCCTCTTTGTTTCAGGGCCTATACCAGAAAGCAGAAGCATTGTACACTATGGGGGATTTTGAATTTGCGTTGGTCTATTACCATCGAGGCCACAAGATCCGCCCAGAGTTGCCACAATTCAGGCTGGGCATTCAAAAATCCCAGGAGGCAATTGAAAATTCCGTTGGAAGTAAGCCATGTGATTTTTTTTACTAGGGGATGGAATCTAATTGACTGCTAGACCTGAGCTTCAACTTGACTGAGAATGCATGAATAAAAGAGAAACTAACAACAAAGATAATAGGCTGTCTAAACTAGCTAAGCAGAGTGCAAGGCAGAGCAGAGCAAGGACCTTAGAGAAGGTATGAAGGTATTTTGCAAAACCAAGGACATATTTGTATCACTTTAATTTTATTTGAATTGAATTTTGTCAATAAAGCAGACAGTAAAATAAACTCTAGATTACACATATAAGCAATCCAACAGAAAATCCTTTGAGTCGTCAAAGTCCAGGCAGAGATTTTATTTTTTATTGGCCACCCTATTTTCTTATCTATGCACAATATTACTGAGCCTTTTTGATGATGGAGCTGGTCATGCGAAGCTCCTTTCAGAAAAAGTCTCAACCTCCAACTTCTATTTTAAAAGGCTTGTGTGCTACAGCAGTGAAAAAAGCAAAATCATTGTTATTAGGGGAGAGTTAAAAATGAAGGAAGTACCATAGGCTCTTACAGAAAGCTGTGGTTCATCCACAGTTGGAATATTTTGTGGAGTTCTGGTCCAGGCTGTTTCCAGAAAAATGTCAACGCTGAAAAAGATACAGAAAGGGGCAACTAAAATGATCAAGGAGTTCTAGCCTCTTCTCTTGCACGGTTTGCATGCTGCTTACCAAGGGATTCCTTGCTAATGTTTTTGGCAGGTGATTTTCAGGGCCTTCCTGACTTCTTGGCTCAGGCGTAGGCAACCTAAGGCCCATGGGCCAGATGTGGCCCAATCGCCTTCTCAATCCGGCCCACGGACGGTCTGGGAATCAGTTTTTACATGAGTAGAATGTGTGCTTTTATTTAAAATGCATCTCTGGGTTATTTGTGGGGCCTGCCTGGTGTTTTTACATGAGTAGAATGTGTGCTTTTATTTAAAATGCATCTCTGGGTTATTTGTGGGGCATAGGAATTCTTTCATTTTTTTCCTTCAGAATATAGTCCGGCCCCCCACAAGGTCTGAGGGACAGTGGACCGGCCCACAGCTGAAAAATGTTGCTGACCCTTGTCTTGGCTGGTGCTTTCTCTGTTTGTAGGCCCTTCTTCTGTGAAACTGGAGAACAGAGCAGACCTCTTCTTTCTGAGTCGCCAGGCAGAGGTATGGTCTCACCAGCTTTTCCCAAAGTGGGTCTCTGATCCCTTCATTAGGAGGGAATAGAAGATATGGTAAGGAGTTCAAGGCATAGACACAGGTTGTTGCAGGGTGGGCACAGGGAGGATGTTTGAGAGTGCAGCTATTTGGTCTTTCTCTTGCATCACAATAACATGGTTCACACATAATGCTAAACTTTAGCGTGAATAAGTGCAGGTTCCCAGATGGAGAATCTTGACTGCAGTGTTATTTTTGATCCTGCCACACTACCCAGGGCTAAGCCATGATCTAGCTTAATGTTACATCTGAATCTGGGCTTGTAGTTTGTCTCCCCCCACAGTTACAGTTTGGTTGCCGGTCATGATTTCTTCCTGCCGTGCTGCTTTTCTTCCCACAAGAAGTACTGTAGAGAAAATGATAAGCTTTTTCCCTTGCAAAATTTATTTCTTACGCTTTTTTATGTATGTGGCAGAGTAAAAGAGCAAAACAGAAGCTTCAGGTCAAATTTCCTAAGAAGGATGCAAAGTACCTAGGCAGACAGGAGCCTGTGAGGAATGAGAAAACCGAACGGCAGCTGCTGGGGGAGCTCTACGTTGACAAGGCTTTTCTGGAGAAATTGCTCAAGGATGAAGGTTTTTGTTTACTTCATTTGGCTAATGCCGGGCTTGGGAGTTTCAGGACTGCATGTGTCATCAGGCAGTCTAGCAATTACAACCCCCCTGTGAGACTGACTGGGTATTTGCAGGAATGCAAGGTTTCTAAGGGATTTCCTAAAACAGTGATTTTCAAACTCTTGTTTCTGGGCTCTTCGATAAAAAAAAGACCAACTAACTTCCTCAAAATATGGCTTGCTAACTGTATTGGTCTTCCCCTGCAATATGAAACCTTGTTTGGTTCATGAGGGATGTTGGTGGAGTTCACAAGGCTTAGCCAGTGCCTCGTGTCAACTGTGTGAATACCCTTGAACAGGGACAGCCAACATGGTGCCCTCTAGATGCTGTTGGACACCAACTCCCATCAGCCTCATCCTTCATGGCCAGTGGTCAGGGACGATGGGCGTTGTAGTCCAATCACACCTGGAGGGAGGGCACCGCATTGCTTACCCCTGCCCTAGAACATGTTCCCAAATCTTCAACAACGCACAAAGTTTCCTAATAAATGAAGATTCTTGAAGATAAACCAAGGGTTGTGAGCAGCATCTGCCTCACAGGTTGTATTGGTTTTAATTGTCACTGGTGCTGAATGGTGTTTTATTGTTTTATGTCATTTTGATATTTCTTTATTATAGTACAGTCGTACCTTGGAAGTCAAATGGAATCCATTCTGTTGTTTTTTTTAAAGAAATATTTATTAAGGTTTTACAAAAAACATAGGTTTACAGAATAGAGAAAATTTAAACAAAATTTAAGAGGCTAGAAAACACACATAGGAAAGAGGAAGAAAAAAGATACAAAATACAAAGAAAAAAAACTAATAGCTAAAAAGAAAAAATTTAAAAATAAATCCATTTTTCAATATCTTTAGGCTCGTTTCCTTATTTCCTTGACCTCCTCACACTTCCCCTTTTTGTATTCCCGTTTAGAAAATCGTTTCAGCAAATCCTTACCCTCTTTCATTTATCTTTACTCTATGTCTTAACCTATTATAACTATGTATTTTCATCCATTATCGATCTGTATTTGCATATTCTTATTAATCTTATTACCAATACCACTTATTTTCAATCCAACATCATTTTAACATTCATTAATTTTACAGTATTTCTGCAAATAGTCTTTAAATTTCTTCCAATCTTCTTCCACCAACTCTTCTCCCTGGTCTCGGATTCAAATGGAATCCATTCTGGAAGTCCGTTCAACTTCCAAAATGTTCGGAAAGCAAAGCATGGCTTCCGATTGGCTACAGGAAGCTCCTGCAGCCAATCGGAAGCCATGGAAGCTGTGCTGGATGTTCGGCTTCCGAAAATCATTCAAAAACTGGAACACTCACTTCCGGGTTTCGATCATTCGGGAGCCGATTTGTTCAGGAGCCAAGGCGTTTGAGATCCAAGGCACGACTGTACTGTTTGCTGCTTTCAGAGCTTTCTGGCTGAAGAGTGGCAGGCAAATTCCGAAACCAAAATAAAAACAGTGCTACTATTTGCTGTTTACCTAGCCCTATAGCAGCATCCAATTACAAGTCACAAACATTACTTCATTAGTGGAAATATGGTTACATGCCTTCCCAACCTCTGAGCGGTGCGAGATTCCAGGAGTTCCAGGCACTTGCGCAGGATCTGTGTTTCCTTTGGAAATGAGGCACAGCGGAAACTGTGGTGTCTTTAGGATATATGGTTTATTTACCCATATATACAACCTGAGCCTTCTATGGAGGCGTTCGCAGCATCAGCACCCCAAAGGGGTCTTGCTTCTCCATAGCCAAAGCCCTGGATTCAAGCAGAAATCAGCCGTGGCTTTTTTCTCTGCTTTTTCAACCTGCATCTTTTCCCTCTAGGTCACATGACAGCAAACTATGCCCTTAAAAAAAGCAACTTGGGTTATACGGATTAGAAATCTGGTACCCACAATCTCATAACAATATGAAGTCCACACAAAGTGGGGGGACATCTGTGTGTTCCAGCAAAGAGATGATGTATCTATAAGAGGCATCTTCCCTAAGCCAGTCATATATATGTAAATACTGTAATGTAAACTATCCCTTTTTGTTTGTTTTTTAAATCCTCCATCTGTCTCTGCCTATGGTCTCCCTGCAGACTTGACCAAAAGCACCACGAAGCAAGGGGTGACTGTTGGACGCCTGATCCAGGAAGGGCTTTCCTACCTCGATAACCCGCACAGATTTCTGGCAGCAGCAGAAACCTATCTACGCCCGGATGCAAGGACCGCAAAGCTCATGCTTAAGAGATGGACAAGAGGATGCAAACAGCGCGAGCCATCCGAGGTGGCCAGATACATACTTAAAGAGCATGGTGGACATCTGCAGTATCGTGTAGGGTTTGGCTCAGTTTGAAAATGTGCTGGCTGTTTTTTTGTTTTGTTTTAAAACCACATTTGGTTACAATTATGCACAATGAAACAAAAAGAAGGGCGCGAGGTAATGCAAAAAAAGGCCCCATGCATGGTTCTCTCTTTTGTTAAATACACCCACAAGGTTATAAAACATGAGGGAGCACCTATAAATAAGAAAACCATATTATTATTAGTATTATTATTATTATTATTGCATTTCTTTCTTTCCCCCATTTATTTATTTAGACAAAGCAATAATCATAAAGAAATAAGAATAAACATGTGCACCCCACCACCAAGAACATTCCTTTGTAACTATCCAACCTCCCAAAATTTCAACACCTCTATGCGATGGTTTTTGGACCCCTTTCCATAATTCCTATGACACCTTCCATACTCCTTCCAAAATCATTTCTCCTGTGTATTCCCATCTTACCTTGATGGCCTACATGATTAATGTACCATGATAGCTATAATCCACACCTCTTTATGCCGTCTCTTCCATGTTTATATTAGAATGAACCGGTCACTGGGCCTTGTTCGTTTGTTGAACTTTATTGAGTTACTTCTGTTGAAATTTAAATTTAGAAAGCAGTGAATAGTATACCTTATTTATTTAAGAACACAGCCGGCTTACGATACTGCGTAGTGTTTTATTGATAGAATGATTATACGTGACCATCAGGTTTGTTTGTTGTTGTTTTGTTGGGAATAGACAGACAAGTCTCAGGGCCCCTGTGGGGTTAGTGTGAGGAGGCACCTCTCCCTGGGTTGGGGGCAGCTCAGAGACTGGGGGCAGCGGCAGTGGCTCCTTGGAGGACTCCCAAAGAGCGGGGAGAGGAGAGGAGGCTGAGGGAACACTCCACAAGGGAGGGTGTTTGAAAAGGGTGAGAGCTCTGCAGGCAAGGGGTGACATTACTGGGCTCCTGAGCCCCACAGGGGTGCCGCAGAAGAATGCAGGTGGTCAAGGGAGCTGTGGACTCAAAAAGGTTGAAAACCTCTACCCTAGTTTATGTTGCAAGCTGCCTGTGATCTTCGGATGAAGGGCAGTATATAAATTTAATAAATAATGATAATAATGGCTGCCACCAATAGCCACATGGTAAATTTTTTGTAGTGAAGTTATTGACAATGCTTGTCCCATAGATTCGGGAGTGAGAGTTGTAGGGTCATTGGTACAGAATTCTTTAGGTTCCTGATACACAGGAGTCAGAAACATTTTTATAATTCCATTTACTGGCCAATACGGTAAAATCCAAATCTGTTTCCCGCGAAGCATTTTAAGACCTGTGAGGGGTCCCATTGATTCAATCAATTCCCTCTATATATAGCAGAAAATATGCTGACTTGAAATAACAGATATTAATGGAGACATTTGTTTGCGCCATCAAATAAGAATTGAATTATAGCACTCTAGACAGGATGTTCTGAGCATGAAAATGTACTTTTCTAAACTCTCACATTGCACAAATATATATAGGCTTCAGAATTTCACCTGACTCCTGTATTAACTGAGCTTAGACCCTGGAGTTGTAAAAAGAAGGGTGTTGTGTATTTGAATTCTTGCTAAAGACAAAACAAGAGCCAGTACCTGTTAGCGGATTCTCTGGATGAAGCCTCTCTCTTATTCTATAGGGACCCAATGAAATAGAACAAAATGGACTCAGGTTTGTCTATGTAATCAGGTCACTTTCATAGCTTGGAAGAAAAGTTGCCTTTCTTTCTGAACTTCTTCAAGGGATTATAAGGAGCAAGCCCCCAGATCCATTTCAGAAGCCACCAGAGTTTCTGCTTGCATTTGCAGCAACTGTTTCCCTCTATGATAAACGGTAGATTACATAAACATTTTGTATCTCCACGTAAAATGGACTCAGGTGTCGAGAATGGGAAAGACCTGTACCTGAACTATTGCCACTCAGAGTTGACCAATAAGAGAGACCAGTGATCTGGCTCCTTACATTGAACTGTAGACAAATCACGAGAAAGAATTGTCTTGCTGGATCAGGCTAAAGGTCTCCTCCTTGTTTGGCATTCTGTTTTCAGTAGTGACCTGGCAGATGGTAGGAGCTGATGTAAGTGCTAGCAAACAAGATGGATAGTGAAAATAGGTAATGTGAGATGCCATTTTGGAGGGGGAGGGTGTCCAAATTTGGGATATCCTAATGAATTGGGGTTAGTTAACATGCATCATATGAGCACACTCTTCTTCTTTTTCTTCCCTTCCCTGTCAAGTGTTGACTAGCGGCAGCCCTGAAAGAAGCTGCCAGAAAGCTGAACAAGTGCTGAAAAAGATCCAAGGCTGGTCTGACGAAGAGATCCCTAACAGGAGCGAACTGGTTGGAAACCTCTACAGCTGCATTGGAAATGCTCAGATTGAGATGGGGAACATGGCAGCAGCTTTGCAGAGCCACCAGGTGGATCTGGACATTGCAAAAGAAAAGTAAGGAAGGGCAGCCTATTCCTTTTGAGGCTGCTTGAGTGCCCATTCCATGCTGCCATCATTTAGCCATAGCTGTGTACTCTTTAATTCAGGACAGGAGTTCGGAATGAGTTGAATTGTTCAAATCTCAGTTTGCTGGAAAAAAGAGGGGTAGAAACTTAGGGTTTCTAGCCCTTATGGTTGTGTAAAAATGTATGCAGGCAGTGCCTGGTGATATCTTCTGAGCTGGAGATGACAGAATTGGGCCTACCTGTTGGCGGAAGAAGCTCTGGTACTCTGTACAGCTTCCCCATCCAACAGAGTTGGAGAATCTAGCCCAGGGGTCCCCAAACTAAGGCCTGTGTGTTGGATAAGGCCCGAGAGACTTGTTTCTCCTGCCTGCGGTGACCCCTGCTGCCGCCGCCCGCTCTTACCGGCGCTGCCGCTGCGTGGCTGCCCACTTCCAGGTCGGAGGAGCACAGGAAATAGCTTGTGCACATGTGCAAGCGTTATTTGCGCATGTGCAAACATTATTTCTGGTGCACATCCGGGTCGGAGGAGGCCCGTGCACATGCGCACAAGCTATTTCTGGTGCTCCTCCGGCCCAGAAGTGCGCCGAAAATAGCATGTGAGCACGCGTATGGGCACGTGTTCCCCCAGCCCGCTGCGCGATCGGCGCTGGAGACACCGGCCCGGGGCGTGGTAAGTTTGCTGGCCTCTGATCTAGCCTGGAAAACCGGTTCCACAAGCTCTTCCCCATCCTCTTCTCTCCCCTCTCCTATTCCTTGTTCCAAATGCCTGCGTCTTTGAAAACCTTGTTTTTCAGGAGCAGGATAAACAGAGACTGGCAGATTTGTTTGTGTTTTCTTAGAAGGACACACGCTTACCAGCATTTCGAATGTTAGTTTAGTATTGCACGATTCAGGTAGGTAGCCGTGTTGGTCTGACGCAGTCGAAATATTAAAAAGAATAAAATTGTCCAGTAGCACCTTAGAGACCAACTAAGTTTGTTCTTGGTATAAGCTTTCATGTGCATGCTAGGTTATTTGTTCTGCTCAGGGCTTACATCAGAAGGCCACGAAGCAGGGGTTAGTTGCAATGTCAGCCAGGGCTTCCTAGTATCTGAGCCCATAGACTGGGTGCTTGGAATAAGAGGCAGGTAGAGGGGAGTGGTGTGGGGATGGGGAGGAAAACTAGCCACAGGAACAAGTGCATTTCTAGTTCACCCCAGGGCATGGTCTCAGTCAATCGGGTCTGTGTGTCTTTAGTTGGAGACCTTCTGGAAACAATAGGGAACTATATGTATGCTGTCTAGAAGGAAAGCTTAGGATACAGACTACCCCCATACTGTCAGTATTAAGTTGCCTTAACTTGCCTTCTTCTGACCCATGAGTACCAGTCTTTCCAGAATTGCTAGCACTAGGGTTCCAGTTTGTAATAATCATCATTATCTCTGGGTGAGCCATGAAAGCTACTCCTAGAATGATTGCACTCTCTAGCGGC